TATACAATTTTAAAATTTTTATCTATTTATTTATTTTATTAATATTATTTTTTACATTCTAAGATGTTGTTGCAGAGCAGCTGGGAGGGAGGGAGAGAGGGGAAGGGGGAAGGAAATGTGATGGAAGAAGGAGGAAGGAGGAGGAGTGGGACTGAGGCCTGTGACACCCGCCGCATTCCCTCAGGGGAGACCAGGGGGCTTCCAGTGGTGGCTTGGTCATTGCCAGGCTGGGTGCAGATGTTAGAGAGGTGTGGCAAAAGCCCTCACCCCCTACCACCCCAGCTTGGGAGCCTAGGGCCCTTCTTGCTGTGGCTCGGTGGTCATTGCTGGGCAGGGTGCAGTTGTCAGGAGGGGCTGGCAAAAGCCCCCATCCCCCACCACTTCAGCTAAGAACCCGGAGCCCTTCTTGCTGTGGCTTGGTGGCTGTCACTGGGCTGGCTGTGGTGATGGGGGGGCATGGCCAAGGCCCTCAGCCACCCACCACCCTGGCTCAGGAGAGCCCAGGACTCTTCCTGTGGTGGTTTGGTGGTCATCACTGGGCTAGCTGCCGGTGTTGGGGGGGCATGACCGAGGCTCTTGGACCCCTACTGCCCTGGCTAGGGAGAGCCCAGGGCACTTCTGTGGTGGCTCGATGGTTGTTGCTGGGGTGGTTGCATGTGTCGGGGAGCATGGCTAGGCCCCCGGCCCTCCCGCTTTCTGGCTTGTTAGCTCATGGGACTTCCAGTCCTTCTAGGTGTTATAGGTGTTCTTTGGTGAAATGAGACCTTTACTAGTTAATATCAAACTTTGTCTCTGGTTATGGGTACTTTGTTTTTTCTTTCATTTCTGTGTTGGATTATTTGCTGTTTCCACCACTTAAACTCTGCACTGGAACTAATTTGTTGTCCTTTGTTTACTTCTAAAATGGTGGAACTTCCTGTGGGGACCAACACTTGAGCTAAACTTCTGCTTTGCTGCTGATTCCTTAGGAGAGGCTTTTTGTGCAGCTCAGGTTTCAATGGTTGACTTTATAGGTACTTCCCAGTCTAGAGAAATCCCGTGCACCTGGGTTGTGTAGAAACTCTGGTCTGGGCCTGAGTCTTTTCATCAAACTGCATGCCATGCGATTCTGTATTCCTGACCAGTCTCCTCTGAGTGTCCTACGCAGACTGGGGGCTAGATCAGCTGTCCTTGCTGTGTCCCAGTGTTCTCCCGATGGACCCATCTCCCCCACCACCCATGCTCCAAACGCTTCCCATGGGATGGGCCATGCACTGGTCCCTTGTGATGATTCACTGGCCTCTGAGTGGCTCCTTTTTTTCAGTTGTCTGTGGCTTCTCACTCCTATGTGCGCCCACATGAACCCTATTAGTGGTCTTGCTGGCCTGGGGGCCACCAAGGCCCTCTGCTCCCCTGCCGCCTCCAAGAAACTTCATCCAAAAGGCACAGGTGCAGCTTTTGCCGGCTCCTGTTCTGTGTGCTCTGTGCAGCTCCAGCCTGGAAGCAGCCAGGGCTCGAAACGGGTGAAGCAGTTCTTTTTTTATCTCATCGTGGCTTCTCCCACCTTCATGCACTCCGTAGTTCTCTCTTCCTCCCCTAAGCTCTAGTGGCCCCAGTTTGGCTGTTGTTGCTTTTTTATAGTTGTAAATTGGTTGATTTGCGGGAAAGAGTGACGCTGGGGACCGTCTATTCTTCCCTCTTGACCAGAAGACTAATATAGCATTACTAATAGTTTGAAAGGTATATTTGTCCATGTTTTTCCTCGTATTTACTGACATTAAATAAAAAAACACAAACATATACGTATACACAGGTATGTACAAATACACACATGTATACATATGTATCATAAGCAGTTTTTAAAAAGCCTATTGTATGTCTAGTGAAATATTTGAAAGTCACGAGGGACACAAAATACTTCTTCATTGTGCAGGGCTGTCCCACACATAGCAGGGTGTCCAGAATCCTTCCCCCCTCCTGCTAAATTTCCCTCCATCGTGGTGACAGCACAAACACCATCATAGACTTTCAACACATCCCCTAGGGGGCAGTGCTGCCACCCTTGAGAACCGCTGATCTAAATAATATTGGATTTCACTGCATGTACCAGTGCTGAAGCAGGAAAGTCACACGAGGACCCTCTAAGAGGCTTCTGAACGTGTTACCATCATTTGCTGTCCAATGCTAAGCCCTCTGAAACACTGCCCAAGACGTAGCCCTCCTTCCCTCTGGGTCTAATTAGTAGAAAGACAAGACAAATATCCACCAGTGTATCACCTTTATGGATGGAGGGCTTTCTGGAATGGGCAAGATTGAGTATTGCCACCTTTCAGCCTGAAAAGAAGACAGAGAAGCCCTGGGCCTACAGGGAAGCCGGCCTGACTTTCCTGCCCATGAACTCATGGAAAAGCAGCACCGGGAGGGTGCCTGGGAGCAGGAGACGCAGGCTGGTCAGGGAGCCAGAGGCAGTCCCTGACACTAGCAGGGCCTTTGACACTGACTCCAGGGCCTGCAAGGTGTGGTCGAGTGGTTGTTAGGCCAGTCGGATTGGCTGCTCCTCTAAGGGAAAGTGCGGTGGAAGCTCTCTTCTGGCACCTGCCTGGGAGGAGGGAATCGCTGCAGGAAGCTCTCCCCTAAGGGGCCGTGATGCAGCAGAGATGTGAGGAGAGAAGGTGTTGTCCCTGTCATCCACCTCCCTATCTCACCCAGTCCTTAAAGCAGCTCGAGGAGTGCTTCTGTTACCTGCACTTTACAATGGGGAAACTGAGGCACAGGGAGGTCAAACAATATTTCCAAAATATCACAGCCAGTGAATGATAGAGCCCAGAATTGAATCCACTTCTGTCTTTAGGACCATATTCTTGACACCATGCCAGAAGTTTTCATCTAACGCCACAAACTTCAATCCTGGTTTCTTTCAGAAAAACCTTCTGGTCACTATAGCCATGCTTCCCCTTTCTGGGGCTCCAGACAGCAGATAACAAAATGGCCTCTGGCACCCCCTGCCCTTGCATGTACATCCATCTGTCCTTGTACCCAACAAGCATTTCTGGAGCATCTACTATGTTTCAGCTACTTGTCTCTTCTGGGTGTTGGAAATACAAAGGGGGGGCCTTTCCATTGTGGAGCAGGGACTCATTCACAAAAGGACACTGGAGAACCACCAGTACCCACGTGGGCATCCAGAGATTGTGCGTCTTCATTTCTGCCCTGTATCTTAGTTACGGGACTGTTGAACAATTAAAGGATCTCCCACTTTCTAGCAGTGTTGACAGAGAGTCTTAACACCTGTTATCCCCTGGATGCCCCAACACTTGAAATTTCCCCACCACCT